TAGAACAAATTAATTTCAAATGCGACAAATATACTTCATGGCTTCCAGACGCCGACTCATATGCTGTAGATGCTCTCAGCATAAACTGGGCGGAATTCTTCTTTTATGCATTCCCTCCTTCCTGCCTGATGCTACGTCTTTTGAACAAGATCATGTCCGACAGAGCGGTGGAGATTGTAGTCGTACCACAATGGACAACGCAGCCCTGGTACCCTCTGTTTGATCAATAAATGATCAGTCAACCCAATTTTTTGAACGCAAATCCACAATTACTTTCATCTCCTTTCAGGAAAACTCATCCACTAAAGATCAACCTGGTGGTAGGGATATTATCAGGAAAGCTTTAATGAATACGGGCTCACCAGAAACAGTCCTTCCTATTTTAATGGAATCATTATCGAAATCAACACTTTGCAAATATGAGATGCCGACATTTCCTATGTCTTCAAATTTCTAGAAGAACAATTCCAAAGCAGAACATTTGGCTATGGATCCTTCAATACTTGTAGATCCGCTTTATCGCTGATTTTACCTGGGGAAATAGGCAAAGATACCCCAATGAACAGCATATCCTTGGATAAATTAACCAGGAAGACCCAGTTGGCTCTCACAATAGGTCCACGTTTACAGTCACTAGTCCGCATCAGAATTGAAAATATTATTTTCTTGGTTGATGAAATTCAGATAACAATTCCAGACCACATTGAAACGACAGCTGCAAATAGAGAGCAACCATGTCTTCATCTACCATATTTTGTAGATGAACCAGAGTTATGTGCAGCATCAGCGTTATGCACATACATATAAAGAATCATTCCCATAAGAAAAGAGTCCCAAGATTTCTTATTTCTATCAACAGGTAAGCCACATCTGACAGCTAGTTCAAGCACCATTAGCAGATGGATCAAACAGACCCTTGAAAAGGCAGGAATAAATTCAAAAAAAATTTATGACTATTCTATTCGACATGCATCATCAGCGACATATAGATACCATTAGAAGAACTGCAGGCTGTTCTGCCGGTTCGGAAATCTTTGCCAGGTTTCACAACTTTCCGTTGAAAGATACTTTATCTTTTGCCAAGGCTATCGTTGAATGAATAATGTTGTATCGAACTAATTACCAAATAGTTATTGTATCATCCTATGTTTATGCACTGACCATCTGAGGACCACGGCCTACCACCCTACAGCTAACGGTACCTATGGTTGAGCGTCTACACCGTCAGTTGAAAGCTTCTGTTGAGTGCCTGCAATCTGATCGTTGGACTCACACGCTCCCTACTGCTCTCCTGGGCCTGGAAGGAAGATCTGCAAGCCACCGCCGCCGAGATGATCTACGGCGAACCACTCCGTCTTCCTGGCAAATTTCTGGCCACTACCTCCACCAGAGATATAGATGATTCCGCTGACTTTGTTCGTGAGCTGCGTCAACATTTCCAGAAACTCCGGCCAGTCAGTGGCACCAGGCATGGCGAACGCAAAATCTTTGTTTTCAAAGACCTCGCTACCGCCACCCACGTCTTTGTCAGGCAGGACGCACCAAAAGGACCGCTCCAGTTACCATACGATGGTTGTTTCTTGTGCTGAGAAACCCTTCACGCTTACGATGCGCGGAAGAAATGTTCCAGTTACTATCGATCACCTCAAACCGTCCTATAATGTCACAGAGAATATTGCTGCACCAGGAAGTACCATCGACGACAACGACGATGACTTTGTTCTTGCTGCTCAAGGAGACAACCAAACTCCGTTGCAACAGGTTGCAGTTCCACAACCAGCTCTAGCAACACCACCTGCCTACAGGACGCGCTCTGGTCGTCGCGTTAAATTCACTGAACGCCAAGCAGGTGTGAATCGAATTATGTTGCAATTTCTTATTTCATTTTGAGAATTTCATTAAGTAATCACAGGGTGATTCGCAAATATGTTTTGTTATTCTTTCTCTTCATTTTGTATGTATTTGATTTTAGTTATGTATCGTTCACCTCTGGCAAGGGGGTACTGGGGAATTTCCTATAGTAGCAATTCTGGCAAGGGGGTACTGGGGAATTTCCTATAGTAGCAATTATTGTATCATACTGTAGTGAGTATATTAGATTAATGACTATTGTGATGGAGACGAAAGATGTTGCTAAGAAAAACACTTCGAAGTGAGTGATCAACGGGAGTAGGTCTTGGTTTTCTTTTCCGGAATCGGAACTCATCAGTGGTGAATTTATTGATGTGGATATTTGTTAATTTGTGAATTTGAGCGATAACAAATAAACTCATTTGTCACTCTGTCCTACAGTAGGTTTATTGAAAGTAAAAAAAGGAGGTTACAGTCTGAAGAATTATTTTCAATAACTATATATTGTATTCTGTGACGAAGCTAAGATGCAATTAATTTGAGGGGTATTCCTCGAATTCCGTAGGATTCCAATTTGTCTAAAAGCTTACCGTGTGATACACAGTCGAAAGCCTTTGATAGGTCGCACATAGTGATTTCAGGCTTTCGACTATGTTAAAAACAATTTTGTGTACGGCCTGAATTGTAGAGCAATTAGGCCGAAAAACAAATTGACCGTCGTGAAGAGTGTTGTGCTTCTTGAAGAAATTGATTAGCCGTTCCTTCAGAATTATTTCAAAGATTTCTTCGATGATTGGAATCATAGAAATTGGTCTATAATTTGTAGCTAATTCGGGGTCGCCTTTTTCAATAATGGGTAGAACTTTTGTAATTCTAAGATTTCCTTGGTAAGATTCCATGCTGAAAAACATGTATTTATAAGAATGACTAGAGGTTTTGATATTGCCTCCATTTAACCTTTAATGATTTTGCTATTTAGGCAATGTATGTCAAAACAATTCGAATTTTTCAATATGCCAATATAGCAGCACATACCTCATCATGAGTTACTGGTGCTAAGAAAAACGAATTTTTTGTTATGAGTAGTTTATTCAAAAAATCTAATGAAGGTTGATTTATGTCAGGCAAGTTTTTCACAATATCTTCAGCAACATGAGTGAAAAAATTATTAAAATCATCAGGGCTGAGTTTTGATACTTTAGACGACTTGAATTCCTTGTTTCTTCCGTAATCAATCATTTTCCATGAATCTCTCGATTGATTCTTAGAATTTTGTATAAAACTGTCATAAGAGTTCTTTTTCGATGTGGTTAGCGCGTTCTTGTATTGCATTATATAATAGTTGTGAGCTGCTTCATCCTGCGGATCGTTCGTCACACCACATATAGTTTTTATGGATCGAAGAGAGTCTCTCATAGTTTGCAAATTATCAATGAAAAAGTTTACAGGTGTTATGTATTTACCAGATGATTTCTTCTGAGGAAAGTATTTTTTCACAATAGTTGTGAGATTCTCTACCTGAAAATTAGATAATAAATCACATATTTCTGAGTTGTTCAGGGGAATTCAAGATAGACCAATCTAGCTCTATCAATCATTTTCTCAAAACCAGTTCCATTAATTCTTCTGATATAAGTTGTTTCTGTGAGTGCATCAACCATTGTTTTTATTGACATTTCCTGTGCCCGATGGTCTGACAAACAGGGGTCAAAAGTGTTTATAGTGTAGTTTGTGTTTTTAATGTTTGTTATAATGTTATCTATGCAACTAGCCGACCTAGGCTCACTCTGGTGTACTCGTCAATGGTTAGTTCCAAGCCATATGATCCAACAATTTCAGTTCATTCCATAGAGTTTCTTTAAGATTTCTTGGTGTCAATATCGAAGTCACCTAATATAATGATTTGATGATATTTAACAAAGAGCTTATCCATAAGATTATTGAACTGTTCAAAAAATATATGTAAATCACCATGTACACATGACCTATACATAGTAGTTATACAAGTGTTAATGTTTATGCGTTCTATCTCACAGAATTCTGAATGAAATCCCTTGAAATACCTTGAGAGATCCAAAGGTTTGTATAAAATTTCAGACTGAAAAAATGCATACACCACCATGCTCATTGTCAGTCCTGCAGAAGTGGGTTGCTAGTTTGAATTTGTTTAGATTCACCATTTTGAGAGAATTTTTCCTACACCAATGCTCACTCAGACAAATAATGTCGAAACTGTGCTTTTCTAGATATAGTTGTAATTGATTGATTTTGTTCGAAATGCATCCAGTGTTGAAATGAAAGATACTCACCCTATCTAACATTTTATAATTCAAATTCCCTGGATTTTGTGCTGGTAGATTAGAATCATTTCCTATCATTCGTCATTGTTTACAATAGACCTTTGGTGTAAAAAACGATTAACAAAAGCTCCTTCTGGCCATACTGCAGGATCCATGGCTTTGCTGAAGTTGTTTACTTTTATAATCACCTTGAATGGGGAGTGGAGTTGAGAATACTTTGAGTTTAGTTGTTCCACTTCAACTTCAGGGAAGTGATAACTGAGGTAGTTCGAGACATCTTCTGGTCTCATGTCAATGTCTAGTTTGTATACATGGATATATGATTTTTGAGTAGCTGCTTTGAGGGAGCATCCAGCAATGTTTCCGATAATGGGCTGGTTTCTGAGTCGATTGTTCCTTTTGGATTTGTTTTCAACAAGTGTCCAACTATCTATAATACAGTTGTTGAATGAATCAATCCTATCATGCAAAACTTTTCATGTTAAAGTCAATTAAATGCATACTAACACTTACCCTACTTACTTTGAATACTATTATATTCCAAATTATATTACTATATTTTCTATTCAGTCGATTTATCCATTTCTAAATGTGCTACTAACCTCAAATTAATAATCTAAACTAATATAATATACTTCCTCAACTACATTCTTGCCATTAGAAATAAGATAATAATAGTCCATAATATGTCTAATACTCACTTGCAATATTGAAGTCTATTAAATAATCAAAGAAATCTTATCCATAGACAGTCCTCGTGAAGGACTAAATGGTGTTTCTGTTCATTTTCATAGGCCCAAAAATTTGTAAAACATGTATTATTTCCACCTATGTGAATAAACTTCTATTCTATTCTTCTATTCTATCTCCTGGTGCGACAGAATTCTCATTCTTATCCATAACATCCAACGCAAGATTCAGTCCGTTTGGGACTTGTTTAGGAGTGATTCCGCGAAGCTGGTTTGATTCAGGCTTTTCAGTTGCTGTCATTTGTTGATTGTTCACGTTCAGGATAGACTTCTTCTTGTGTGCCGTTTGTGAGTTCTTCTGTGTGATGGTGGCGCCACTCCTTGCAAGTTTACTGCACCCTCGACAGGTTCCATGGTGTGCATTGGATTGTCGACAGAAGACGAGACCCTAGAAGAAGGAAGCCGATCCAACGTTGCCAGTTCGTGACCATGTGTCAACTATCATATTTGAACTCTAATCGTGTTGAATTGTTGTTGTGTTGTGTTGTTCAACTCGATGAACATTTACGGTAAACAATCAAAAATCGAAAAGTTCATCTTTATGAATAATTTCTTGTGAATGACTGTACTTTGTTTGATATGCAACATAATATTCTTTTATTAGAACAATATGAATGGACATCATCTTGAAAATCATGACATAGGTCCTGTGAACATAAGTTTTCATCAAGGCAACTGCAACTCGAATTTCAAATGTTAAGAAGGCTGTGATATATCATTCAAAGATGGAAATCATTTGAGGAACCATTTGAGCTCTGTTCAATATATGATGATGAATGATACTAAAACATGTCAAAAATGCAGACTTGGTGTAATGTGTGAATATAGAACATTCTCGAATGGCTAAACATTGCATAAAAGAACCAGGGAATAAAAATCTGAACAAACAAATATCATATCATTGCACACGCAAGAAACAAAATCGTGGTAATAGAGAAAGACAAAAACCAACGCTCGAAGAGAGAAAAATCAGCAGAAAAACGTTGTCAGGTGCCATGTTCATTTCAAAGGATTCAAAATATGACCATAGTTATCTTTGAGGTTTTAATATTTCGCGCCAATTTTTGATGATAATAACTTGGCAACGTTGAATCGGCTTCCTCGTTTTGATGAAAATACTTCCGACTCTTTGGTTGGCTGAACATTTCCATTTCAATGAAGTCATGATATAGACAAGTTCTGCTATTTTGTAGTTTATGATTTCATATCTCTATTAATATTCAATATCAATCAATAAATGAATCAACCTCATTATCCTCAAGAATCCAAGAAACAACATTCGTTTATAGCAGGGAACATGGTGAATATAGAAAGAAAATGGCGCCGACTGAAGTAGACGCGAACGAAACAACTCCTAAAATTTATAGTGAAAAGAGTGACAAATCATGTTTCCATTGCAACAAAAAAGTGGTAACATGCCAAAAGTGCACTGTATGCGGTGAAATTTTTCATCCTGCATGCTTAAAACAATCAGCAGCCGCAAAAACAGCTGCCTGCAAGCACGTCGCAGAAAATGAGGTTAGACCGAAGGATACTGAGCAGGAAGAAGGTGAAAAAATTCTACTTTACAAAAGAATAATCCTAGAAATTGAAGAAAAATATCAAATATTACAAGAGAATAATTGCCTACTGAAAGAAAAAATTTCTCAACTCGAAGAAAAATTAAATTCCATCAAAACGCAAGGTAAACAGAACTCCCCTCAATCTCCACGAATGGACTCGTCCATCTCGTCACATCAACTGCCAAGGCCTACTTATCAACAACAACTCAAGAATCAAACATATTCGGCGGTGGCTAAAGCTCCGCCATCGTCTCCTAATCCGACAATCAACCACATAAACCCAGTGCAGGTTCGAGTGCAGCAGTGTTCGGGATCGGGTACTGGCACGAAACCAAAGATTACACTCAAGTCAAAACAGTCAAAACCTGACAAGAGTGACATGGCTAATAAAATGGTAAACAATAACCAACCTTCAGAAAATGCGAATCCCATCACTTTGTAGCAATTTTAATTAACACTATATTATGCAGTCTATGAAAATTGCTACTAGATATCACTTTTACATATTGATCAGTGACAAACTCTACCATTGGAATAAAACTTGTGCTTATAATTCCTTAGTCATTTCGAAAACAAACACAACTTATCAATAACAGGGAAATCCTCTATCACCGATCTATAGCAGATTGTCAATATCATTTAAAGAATGTTAATCATACCTTGTAAGTATCAACTGGAAAGGTCACTGCATAAAAGTTATCACATAACAATTCTACTCTGTATGAATTGTTGAAAGATGGTATTGTTATCATTTTGTAATGTTTCGATTTCTCCTGTTGATATGAATTGGAAAAGGACACTGAGTTTCACATGATGTTTGCTATAAACTGATGTCGCCTGATCACACAGTATTCCAGCCACCTTTTTAATAATTTTCATGTAATTAGATCCATTGTTTTGATCATGATAATTATATTTTGACATTTCAAAATATTGAGGTTAGGACGACAAACAGCTGGTAGGACTTTAGCCACACCATCTACTTCGCTTCTCAAATGGTTGGTCGAATAGGATTCGTAACCAATCGGATATTAATGAGATCAGGTGTGGTAGAATTGAAAAGAATGAATGGATCAGTCGTTCCGTGAGTTCTGGTTATTGATGATCTAAGGTGAGGAGTAATTCTATTGACCTTGACAGAATAGATGTAAATAAAGTCAAATTGACAAAAGTCCAAAAAATCCGGAAATTGGGAAATGACGAAATATGACGAAACTGAGAATTATACGCAAAATGATGTGCGCTTTGGGCTTAATTTTTACTGCGGAGATAGAGATTGACTGAAGAGAAAGAATGTGGTGATTTTTGTGCCCCAGCCGGCGAAGTGAATTTAACCATGAAGTCTACATTTTTCTGAAGTAATATAGTGGTATACAGTGCTGTTGTTCCTGATAGATATGGAAAACAGAGTATGACTTCATAACTTTTGTTCAAAGTTGTAAATCTTCGTTCGAGCCGGCACAGTCATTAGATGACCCCATTTTGTATCGTCTCCCATTCTGCTATAACACTAGGATGTTATATCTTTGAGGTATGTTCACCTTTCAAAGTATTTTTAGTCCTCTCTTCAAGAGTAATTTAATTTTACAGAATCTTCACGGTAGTCAGTCTCTATTCTGGAAATAAGGGGGCCACATGGGGCCTAAACCTCTTATCTTATCTTATCTTATCTTATTTTACACTCCATCTTAACCTATGCTGCATTTGAGTAGCATCTTGAGGCATTGTTTATGCTCTCATCTTTCATCATGCTCCTATCCTGGGAAAATTTATCATGCTGTTTTGCTGCTTGGAGAAATACCAAGAGCCTATACAACTATAGTTTCAAGTACAGTCTTTGGGCACAGTAATGCTGAGTGATCAGGAACTGCTGTTGGAGGAACAACATTCCAACTAAGCTGGAAGATAACAGCTAAGTGGTATCTTGCATAGTCTCTTCACCTTTTGTTTATTATGTTGAAGTAATATTTGATATCTGGAATGTCCAGTGATTTTGGTTTTCGGTATAATATGATGATAGAATCTTGTTGTGAGGAATCACAGCAGAAAGTCAACAGGTACATTATTTTCTGAGATCTCCTGTTAGATCCTATGAGACTGTTGTGTAAATACTCATTGTACATATTCATAATACATGTAATAAGTAGGTATTTACCATATATCTGATGTTCGACGAATGTCACAAATATCAAAAATTCTACTAGTGCTATTTTGATAGGATCTCTAGATGTTAGCTACCTGGTATTTGTGATAGGATATTCATTTGTATCTAATTTCATCATAATTCTAAGTTAACAACTAATAATGATCATTTTATTGGTGGTTTGTTCCATAACCACAACAGTGCCACATGTAAAATTTCATGGCATACTGAATAAAATGTAATATTCGAGAATAATTGTTCTCTTTTAATTATAGATCTCTCTCACCATTCTTAGCTATCATGCAATTCAATTTCAGGGTTTCTGGGTCTATCCCCAGCTATATAAGCTGTTAAAGATTCAGTGGCGCTCATGATTTTCATCTATCCTATATAAATAGTATTTATGATTTTTATAACGTATAGTCCATCTCAGTTGTTGAAAACTTAGTGAAAACAACGAATCCATGCCTATTGCCTACTGACATAAGAGCTACCGTTCGCAGTATAGTATATTGTCAAAAATATGCTACAACTTCTGAACAAGTTAGTGCAGCAATTTTAGAAGCAGAATCGATGAATTTGATAACAAATCTGCAACAACCCCAAGATGTTAATAATGACAACTTGGAAAATAATGAGGAATGGACAAGAGTACCAAGCACAATCAAAAAAAGGCGCAAATTTCTGGTAGGCGATAATGTTGAGGTAACTGAAATCCAAACAGTACCTAGGCTCGTCTATTTACATGTCACAAGACTGAGTCCAGGCACGAAGCCAGAAGAGCTTCAAAAAATTTTAGAAGCAAACATTCCAGATGTCACCTGTGAGTTGCACTCTTCCAAACGACCAGAAATCTACTCCTCAATGAAAGTGGCTATCAACCGTGAACACCTTAAAAAAGCATGGAATCGTCAAGTATGGCCTAATGGAGCCATCATTTCATTTTTCGGGAAAACCAGGATGCCCCCGAAGGAGAGGGATCCTGTTTCTTAAATGACAGCCTAAGTTCGATCAACTATGATTCTCAAGAACTCATAGATAATCACCAACCATGGCTTCATCCCATAGAACCTTGTAAAGCAAACCTTCTTCATGTAAATTCACAATGCCTGAAGAACAAACTTGATGAACTTGAACTTATTTCATTGCAATATGAATTTGATGTGATATGTATAACAGAACATTGGTTTTTGAAATCTGACATTGAGTATATAAATCTGTACAATTATGATTTAATCACACATTTCTCTAGATCTTCTCACATTCATGGAGGATCACTTATTTATGTAAGAAATGATCTCAAAGCTACTGAGATTGAGGCTGTCAGGAATCTTTCAGAGGAGTGTCATATTGAGCTTTGTGGAGCAGTGTACACAATAGGAAAAACAGAAATTGTTGTGGTTGCTGTCTACCGCCCAGGTGAAGGAAATTTTCAAATATTTGAAAAGCATTTAACTTAGCTTTAAGCTTAGTTTTCAAAAAATACAAATATGTTGTTTTAACTGGGGATTTCAACATCCACTATAAAAAAGTAAAATCAACAGAGAGAAATATTTTTATGGACATTCTTTACTGTTTTGAACTCAACATAGTTACAAAAGAACCATCACGGGTCTTTACCAACAAAAATGGAACAACATCCTGTAGTACAATAGACTATACGGCTACTAACATTCCAAATGA